GGGGGGATAAATCACAATTTGTAATCTTTTTAAATCTATAAGTATAATTTTTTATATTGTAAACTTTTTCCTGAATGACATCTTCAATTATTTGATATGCTTTCAATATTTCCAAATTTGAGCCTTGCAGTTGTTTGGTTGGAAGCAAAGTAGGGGTTAGGAAACAGTCCATACATGCAACACCTACCAAAAACCCAGGATCAGAGAAAGATTTGATAAGGCAGGATGCTCTTGCCTTAGTTGATGCATCAAAACTTATTATTGGTGCTGGAATATCGCCCAACTGCCGGGTTCCAACAATAACCTAAATATTACTTTTAAGAAGAAATGTAAATAAAATAAGTAAAAACGTGAATTAGTTCATTAACATTAACCTCATCTGGTTAAGTAAACCCCATAATCTAATACCTCTATAATGCTATCAGGATCACACTCAATACTTCATAAAACTGTGACCAGGCAACGATTCTTTGTGTCCATCTTGTCATACAGAGCTTGAGCAAACAATGTTTTCATTTGGAGTCAGGGAAGTAGAACTGAATATTTTTTTTTTAAATTGAAATAGAAATTAAATAGAAATGGAAACTCATTTTTTTAAACTTAAGAATACCTTGAATATTGCGTTGAGAAAAGCCTCTCTCTTGGGACTATTATCCAGAAAAAAAATAGAAATGTCAGCAATAATAGTCACTACCAGCTGTAGACTAGTAAGCTTGATGGTATCTGAACATAAATATTGCAATTTGATTGGTAACATTCTGAATAAAATTAATCTAATATTGAGATCTATAGATTTTAAGAGTAAACATAGTTATTACAACAGTATTTAATAAAACTACATACCCATTATGGATAAGGACAAGTTGTGACTTTTGCAGTGTGTAAATACTGCATGATTCACTCTCTTCTTAAGTTTAGCCTGAACTCCATTCAAATGTCCGGACATGACAGCTGCCCCATCAAAAGAAGCACCAAGACAGTTTTCTGTAAAAAATGATTGATTTAAGATCTTAACATTTAGCAAAAGAAACTTCATCACTAAAAATAAAATTTAAAAATTTAAAAATTAAGAGTTAAGGAATAAAGTTTAAAGTTATTATTTTCCCAAAAGGTATAAAATAGCAATGATAAACCTCAAAAATGTGATGTGGGGGGAGGGTATTTTTTTTACAATAATATATACCCCTATAAAATCTACCTATAGATAGTCCACTTGTCTCAAGCTCATCCAACATGTACTGAAAGATTGACTCAGCAGTTCCATCAGCAATTTCGATGAAGCTGAGATATTCTTCTCTAATTTCTCCAGAATCCACAGAAATCTAATGCATAGTGACAGAAATTGTTTGTTAAACATTGTGACTTCATCTGCAATGAGCACATACAGGCCTGCTTTTTTCACATCATCCAGGATTGATTTTAGAACTTGATTCCCAAAGATATCAATTATTTCGTTCTGGATATGTGAAGACATCATGCTTGTGGTCTTGTTCCGTCCTGAGTTTGTTTCTTTACAAATAGTAGCATTTTTTCTAAATTATCACTGTAGGATCCAGTGAGATCCATCAAAGCAAGGAAGTTTCCTCGGTTTTTGTGTGGGTTTTTAGTATCAAACTTTTCAATGTGGCCTCTTAATCCTATACCTTGAACTCCGCAGAATCTGACATTTTTAATTACAGCATCCAGAAGGTCATTATTTTCAGATATTCTTTTCATTTTTGCAGAGTCAACCATTCTAGCAATCTCATTCTGTTTACTTGACATGCTTTCAAGAAACTTTTCTGCCTGCATGTGACAAGATAAATGGCACTCTGAATTTAAATGATAGGAAAGACCCTTTTTGTCCTTCACTGAAATGTTCTTCCAATCAGAATAACCATTGATCCATCTAGATGGCAACAGTTGCTTTTTATTTGAGGCAAACATTCCACAAGGTAAGCAGAAAATCTTGTCAGTTGTTTCACTGTAGTGGATGTATTTAGACTTTTCTCCATATGACTTGACTGAAGAACTGTTGAAACGACGTTTTTGTGTGTATTTACCATGCTCTGGAAGTGTGTTCTTGATTAGAAGATGGAACTTGTCAATTGAAGTTAAAGTTTTAATATCCACAATTTTCCTGGTGTTCAGAAGCAGTGAAAAATCCTTAAAAGCAAAAATAATAATAATTTGCTAAATGCTGTTTATCAGAACATATTGTACAAGTTCATTAATTCGAAAATCTTTACCTTGTAGATTACATCTGATTTCTCGCCCATAGTTGTTTCTTGAGTCTGTGCAGCAATCCTACAACCTAGAGTACTCTGTAGAGAAGATTCTTCTCCAGATACAATCCTTGAACCTTCAGCACTCTGTGCAGCAGGTCCTTCTCCAGATACAATCCTTGAAGCTTGAGTACTCTGTAGAGAAGGTTCTTCTCCAGATACAATCCTTGAACCTTGAGTACTCTGTAGAGAAGATTCTTCTCCAGATACAATCCTTGAACCTTGAGTAGTCTGTAGAGCAGGTTCTTCTCCTGATTTATTTAGAATCTTAATAGATCTGATCTGAATAGAGTAAGACATATAAATATTCAATTATGCCATTGTCATGGTTATTTACTATTACATGGATCTCCACCTGAAATTTAAATAAAAGCCACTTTTTGGCCTTGGATGGCTAGAATTTTCAAATATTATAATTTTTTTCAAAAGAATTGATCTGTAAGATATAATACCCAAATATTTGAAAAAATACCATTTTTGAAAATTTCGATTTTTACGGAATTAATTGATGTTTTCGGAAAAATCAATGTCAGTAAATTGTAAATTTTNAGGCCAAGCATGCAAAAATGTCAATGCCCGATCTACGACGTTACTCTAGAAACCTTTATCTTAAAAACTTTGGAAAAGAAATCACAATTGAAAATAATCAGCTTTCCAAATTGTGAATTTGGTCATACTTGGTCAGATAAAGGTTTCTAGGGTACCGTTATGAATCGGGCGTTTGCCATCTTTGCATGGAGGATCACTTGAAATTTGGCTTACAGTCCCTTTAAAGAGACTTGTTAAGGAGTGTCGTGTGTCGAGTAGCGTAGAACAAGAACTGAATCCAAGTAGAGGAATTCTCAAACAACGTGGCGGGCAGAAGGAATATATTCTTACATCTATATTTTTTAAGTAGTAATATAATCACATAATATCTGTCTGTCCGATCATAACTCATGAACCTTGACCGATTTCCCTCTAATTTTGATGGATGAGAAAAATTTAATGAGTTAAATTTTTAATTTAATTTTTAATTGATGATATCTCATTGATTGAAACATAAATTTTATTCTGTGTTCTTTTTCAATTGTATCCGCGTATTATTTTTATTTTGGATAGATCCTAGCAATGGAATATTTCCATAAAGAGTTCTTTCTTTTTTGCTAAAATTCGTTACATCAAACATTTATTTTTGGTGGTGAAATAATTAAGAAATAACCAATGATAATTGAGAAATAACAAGTGTAAACAAGAAAAGAAGAAAACAATAAGTTAAAATATAAGTTTGGACTCGCCTTAATTATAGACTTGTTTTTAATTGTACGTCAAATATATTTTTTATTGCCTTTTCTTCTTTACTTTTATAGTTCTCAGTAAATTTTTTCTATTTATTATTTGAACTCTTAGTAAGGATATATTTGATCAGGGTTTGGGTAAAAGTAAATCTGCATCAGGAATTATTTCTCTTAAACCTGTTGAGGTATGCATTTTTTTTAAAGGGGTGTTTATTTTCATTTATTTTTCCAGAAGTTGTAACAGTTTTATGGGTTTTTGCTGAGTTAGGAAAAAGTGTCCTGAAACTGAAAGAAAACTTGTTTTTTGATAATGATTTTTAGTTGGTCCGGTTGGGAGGGTTATTGTTTAGAATATAAACTCTTAACTTACAGTGGGACTCAATAACTGTTAAATAGAAAGACCACATTAAGCAATTTTCTGTCTATTTGAGTATTGATTTGCAGCAAAAAGTTTTATCAGTAGCTTTAAAATCTACTTATTAATTGAAATGGGTCTGTGAACACTGCACATTTTCTGTGTTTTATTTTCATTAGTCTGTTAGAAATGACAACTTTATTCTAACAATCTAACAGTCTTATTTTCCTACAGTTTAATAATTGTACACTGTATGTAATGATAATAAAGAGTAGGATGTATGCATGAATGGGTAAAATATGCTGTATTAAATAGGTGGTTAACACTCCGTTTAAAGGAACTTAAAGCGTAATATCAAGTGACCCACCATGCAAATATGGCAGTGTCCGATTCACAACAGTACCATTAAAAGCACTCGTTGATCAAATTTGAATTAGATATTAATGTATACAATTTTTAAATCTTATGTTTTTTAATTGCGGTTTCTTTAGAAAAGTTGCGTATTTCTACTGCAGGAAAACTTTTCAGAAATAAACACTTTTAAACTAAGAATAAAGACAAAGTCTTCCACATTATTAATAAGATAAAGGTTTCAGAGTACCGCTAAAAATCGAGAATTGAAATCTTTGCATGAAAAGTCGCTTGAAATGACGCTAGCAGTCCCATTTAAGGACATTCTTGTTAAATTAAAAAAATGATGATTGCAGAATGTGAAGAAGAAGGCTCGAGTAAGTTTTGGAGAGAATGATATACGCTGTGTCTCTCCCCTTCCCGGTATCAAATCTAGGCTTGGAACTTTTAGAACTGGTGCAGAAAGGTAGTTTTTAAACGAGCTTAAAGCTTTGAAACATTTTGAATTTCGGCAGATTTTCTTAAGTGGAGTAGTGGAGTATTTACATGACCTTGAATTATTTTTTAATAGATCAAATAGGTCGATATTTTGTAGCCCGCAGATAAAGTTAATTTCTAATTCATATCTTTAAATTCCAGCAATTCCTCAATTTAAACAATTTTCTTAAGTGGAGTAGTGGAGTATTTACATGACCTTGAATTATTTTTTATTAGGTCGATATTTTGTACCCCGACAGATAAATTTAATTTCTAATTCATATCTTTAAATTCCAATCAATTCCTCAATTTAGACAATTTACTGCAGGGTGGGGGGTTCATTACAGGAGCAGGAGCGGAGCAATGAGAATGGGGTTATAAATGTGTTCCTGTCCGGCTTGGACTCTAGGCCTTTTGTTTCGACAATGAAGAAATATTCAAATTACAACTAGATGTGTTAAATTTGTACCTTGTTCTCTAGTGAGGATGAAATGTCTCCAGTAGATCTCCGACAAACCCTGAGTAAATCCTACGCAAAGAGTATCACAGCCTCTCCGAGTTCAAGTTTATCTGGGCAATCCGTCCCAACCAAACCTTCTCCTAGTCTCAGTACTTCATCATCCCTAGACTCACAGGTTTAGATTTTTTTATTCACCCTTTGTTCTAACTCATCATATTTGTTGCTGAAGCCAAATCTTGCGGCGGATCCATCGGATCCGGAACCGGAGGAAATTATATCGGAAAGCGTTTTAANTAAATTTTGTTTATTCCAATAGTTAAGAGTTTTATTTGTTAAGGGCGTTGAACCGATTTCTAGTGTTAAGAAGAAATATTTTATCGTGAAAACTATGTCGGACGGGTCGAAGAGCAAGGTAGGTTATTTATTTACAAAATATATAATTTCTGAGGTCGGAATTGTCGGTTTAATTTAGCGCTAATCCACATCGCATGTTGAAAACATTTAATTTGAAACTTTTAGCTCTTATTCCTTGAAAAGAACGGGTCATTGGGATTGTTGATTCATGATTGTTCTGCAAGGGTTATGATATATATAGTTAAAGAATTATATCATACTCCCCCAGGGGGGGGGGGGGGTAATGACACTTATGAAAATTGGACATCAAAAGGCAAGATTTTTTCCTTTAAAATACATTTTACCTAAAATGAATATTTCCCTTAAAATCATTTATTTTTCCAAATTTATTAAACCCTGAAGGAAATTTGCCACTTCGCGCTTACATACCTCACTTCTGAGGAAAAAGGATTTTCAAAGGGCGGGTTTAATTTTTCAAGAAAATATACACCCCTATCTCCAGGTTGAGGTTGGGGCGGACCATCCTTTAATAATGAAACATCGTCTGGTTAAACCTGAATCTATTCAAACTGCTCCAGGTATAGTTAGTAGCTAGTTCAGGGATTGGGTTAATAACTGGTATTTACGCAAACCTGCTCCAGGTATAGTTAATAACTGGTTTTTACGCAAACCTGCTCCAGATATAGTTGATTACTGGTATTTACGCAAACCTGCTCCAGGTATAGTTAATAACTGGTATTTACGCAAACCTGCTCCAGGTATAGTTAATAACTGGTATTTACGCAAACCTGCTCCAGGTATAGTTAATAACTGGTATTACACGCAAAACTGCTCCAGGTATAGTTAATAACTGGAATTTACGCAAACCTGCTCCAGGTATAGTTAATAGCTGGTAATACACGCAAAAATGCTCCAGGTATCGTTAATAAATGGTATTTTACACAAACTTTCTCCAGGTATAGTTAATAACTGGTATTTTACGCAAACCTGCTCCAGGTATCGTTAATAACTGGTATTTTACACAAACTTGCTCCAGGTATAGTTAATAACTGGTATTTTACGCAAAACTTCTTCAGGTATCGTTAATAACTGTTTTTTGTTGCGCAAACCTACCTGCTCCAGGTAAAAGTTAATATTTGGTATTTTACGATAACTTGCTCCAGGTAGAGTTAATAACTGGTATTTACGCAAGCCTGCTCCAGGTATAGTTAATAACTGGTATTACACGCAAAAATGCTCCAGGTATCGTTAGTAACTGGTATTTTACACAAACTTGCTCCAGGTATTGTTAATAACTGGTATTTTACACAAACTTGCTCCAGGTATAGTTAATAACTGGTATTTTACTCAATCCTGCTTCAGGTATCGTTAATAACTGTTTTTTTTGCGCAAACTTACCTGCTCCCAGGTAAAAGTTAATACTTGGTATTTTACGCAAACCTGCTCCAGGTATAGTTAATAACTGGTATTACACGCAAATCTTCTCCAGTATAGTTAATAACTGTTGATTTTTCATTCATATCATAATACATATATTGAATGATATATTTTAGCAAAACAGGTTCGCCGTGAATTATCTCCTATCCAGTTGACCGTAAAGCAGGATAGCAGTTCACGCCCAGCTTCTCTTTCTAGACAGGTAAACCATTCTCTTTTAACTTAATTCAATCGGCAGATTCTCTTAAAATTGATTGATTGATTTGATATANAAATCTGACCATTGGAAAAACTGAAATGTGCTTTTTGCATATATTTCTCTATGCGCGCAGAACTATAGATAACATACAAACCAAACAAATGTTTTGCTTTTTTATTTTTAACGTTTATAAGAATGTAAAATATATGAAATATATGAACTTTTTATTAAAATTTTGGAATTAATTCTTTTTTCAGATGATGAGTCAAACCGAGCAGCCAGCAAGAATGTCCATGAAGGTTCATGTAGACCAGGAGAGGTTAAGGGAGGATACAATCCTCTCCAGGGATAGGAGAGGACAAGGGGAGGATATCTCCAGAGGGACCAGGGTAACCGAGAAGATGGATGTGAGGCTGGAGAGGACGGTTAGAGGTTTAGAGAGAGAGAGTGGAGGAGGAAGAGTCTTCAAGCAGATGAGGATGGATGAGGTTTGTTGATAGTTTTTAATTTGTAATAAGGACAATTCCATTTTAAGTTAGTGTGCTTTTTTTTTTTTTTTTGCTTTTTCGCGGGATTTGAATGCAGATGATTTTTTTGAGTAAAATTTTTTTTTAAGAATTGCCATTTAACGTAAACTTTTTCACTTCCCCAAAGAACATCGAAAATCATGTAAGATTTATTTATTTTCTAGGAAACAGATGAAGATTCATTTCAAACCCTCGCCGCCCGAGCCAGTAAACTTCAGGTAGTAGAACAGGGTGATTAAGTTTCTCGGATTTTTAGGGATTATCAAGGCTGGGAAACCTGGAAAAAAGCAAAAGTAAAGGTTAAACAATGTTTAATGTCCATTAAGGACTCCAATCTAAAACTTGGAAACTGTTGCTTGTCTCCGCATTTTTATTTATTTTTATTCAGTATTTTTTATTTTTTGCAATCATACAATGATAACCAGTAAACTCTGAAATAGGAAGACTACTTTCAAGTCGAGTTATAACTTTAAAAAGTCTAATGAGATACACATCAACTGTGTAGTGTAAACAGATCCATTTAACTAAATTAGGGATTTAAAAAGTGAACTATTTGCTTCAAATTAAAACAAATACATTCAAGTATTGCTATATAACGTCGGTTTCCTATTCCAGTTTTATATAGCAGTATTAAACTAGAGTTAAATTGGTATCCTAGGTTTCTCATGCTTACTTTAATATTTTTGTAATAAAGTAATTGATATTTAGGGATGATCAAAAAATATTTTGAAATGAACTTTTTTTCGTTTTTAATTAAATTGAAATTTATTGCATGTATGTAATGTATGTATTACGTTTGTTTTGAAGGGGACTGTGTGCGTAATTTCAAGTGATCGTCGATACAAGCTGTGTCTAATCAAACATGAAAATGTTTATAATTTGAAAACTGCTCAATGCTCATTTTCAATTGTGACTTGTGCATTTCTACTGCAAGTAAACAAATGGAATTTATCAAAATTAACCACTTTTTACCATAAAAAAAAACCACGATATCTTCCACATTATTGATCAGATGGGTTCAAGGGTACCACTATAATTCTGGCATGTCATCTTTGCATGAATGGACACTTAATAGCAAAATCCGAATTAAAGTAAATAAATTCAAAGGTGTGAAAGAATAAAAATATCCTATTCACTATCTACTAGGCTATTCACTATCTATTCCAACTTGTGATTGTTGCTTTATTTATCTGCATTTTATCTTCGATAAAACAAAAATAAAAAAATTTCGTGGATTTACAATTTTTTTTGTGGATTTTCAAAATTTCACGAAAATTAAAAATGTTTGGAGACAAATTACTTTTGTAATTCTGAGCAATGCTTCCATGAACTACATGAGTCATGGGTGGTTCCACACAAAACTGGGGCCCCATCGGTTCAGCCGTGTTGCCTTTTTTTTGGAGACAAACAAACAAACGAACACTCACCCAGACAAGCAATATATATATAAATGATATTTGTTTAGCTAAAAAGTCGGGATGAGAGAATGGATCGTTCTCCGGACTCTGAGCTAGAGAGAAGGAGTCTTAGTAGATCCAGATCGAACCCGGAGATATCCAGAACTAGTAGTCAGATATCCAGAACATACCCTGAGATATCCAGAGCCACTCAAATAATATCCAGGAATGGACGGAAACAGAAATATTTCATAAAACAATTTCATCGCATTCATCTTAGACATCAAGAGGAATATTTTTTTTTTTAATTCATCTTAACCTAACTTCACCCACAAACTTTTTGTGAACGTTTTTTTACAATTATTTCAAAACTAATTATGTAAGAATGACACAAGATATGATGCCTTTCTTTAAAAAAAATTTTTTTTTCAGAAAATAATACTATTTTTATCACAACATTTTTATTAAATATATAACTTTGTATCTGTATCCCAAAACCAGATCGTCGTCGCCGGAGGACGAATACAGATCTCATATGGCGAGGTTGGGTAGAGAGGACGAATACAGATCTCCTATGGCGAGGTTGGGTAGAGAGGACGAATACAGATCTCCGATAGCAAGGTTAGGTAGGGAGGACGGATATAAGGAGGAGAAGCTGCGGGTTGGACTCCAGGTTGAACAGTCAAGGAAAAGAAGATCCCAGGAGGATTATTTAGAGGATCCCCGGTCAATTATGAAAATACGATTAACCGAGTCATCTAGGAAAGCAATATTATTTTATATCCCAGCCCGGAGGGTGATTAAAGAACACTTAATACAGCTTGTTAAAAAATATTAAAACTGTCATGCTCATAATTCATTGATCATTGCTCAAATGCAGTTTGAAACGGATAAAAAAATGTGGGCTGAAATTTTTACTCTGCTTGGGGGAGGGTGGCAAATTTGGAACTTGAGAACTGATGATAAGCAGCATTGGATCTTTCAATGTTTTTTTTCACAAGAAATGTGCAGCATTCTTATTTACGCTAACATTGCACAGACAATACGTTTTATTTTATATCTAAGGTCAAATCTAAATTTTATGGATATATAGTAAACTTGATATCTATGGCTTGGCTCAAACATTGTTCTGAACAAAGATAAAATAATATTTGATGGTTTAGGGAGATCGATGATCTAGAACTGGTAGAACGCAGGGTTGCGCTCAAGGAGCAGAGAATTCAACGCCTGGAAAAGGAAACTGGATTCTACAGTGAAACTAAGGGTGAAAGGGGCGGAAGGGTGGAGGCAGGGAGTGGAAGAATGAAGGTAGGGAGTGGAAGGATGGAGGTAGGGAGTGGAAGGATGGAGGTAGGGAGTGGAAGAATGGAGGGGGGAAAAGGAAGAATGGGGGTGAGGAGACGAGAAGACGAAGTAAAGTACTCTCCACGTGCGACTAGTTCTGATGGATACGATGATCTGATGTATAATGGAGACAGGAACCAGGACGGTCGAGTGGGACGAGGAACTATGAGAGCAGATCAACTCGTCCTTCCCGTCGGAGAAAGATTATCGAAAACTAGAGAACGGAGTCGATCTCCGGTTGATGCACATCGTCGCTACCGGTCCCAGGAGAGAAGAGAGGAGGGAAGGTTGGGAAGAGATGAAGGAACTGGTGTTAGATCCAGGCTAGGGGGTAAACTCCAGATCTAGAGCCAATTTAGGGAGTAAATTCTAGAACTAGATCTGGGCTATGAAGTAAACTCAAGTCCGAGATCTAGGCTAGGGAGTAAACTCTAGATCAAGATCTAGTCTAGGGAGTAAACTCAAGTCATAGATCTAGGATAGGGAGTAATCTCAAGTCCTAGATCTAGGCTAGGGAGCAAACTCAAGTCATAGATCTAGGCTAGGGAGTAATCTCTAGATCTAGACTAGGCTAGGGAGCAAACTCAAGTCCTAGATCTACGCAGGAGTTTAATCTCTAGATCTAGACTAGGCTAGGGAGCAAACTCAAGTCCTAAATCTAGACAGGAGTTTAAACTCTAGATCTAGGTTCTAAAACATTTATTCTACATAATACTAAACTTTAATTTTGTTATGGTTTCGTCAATAAAATTTTATAAATTGTCTCATTATTATCAATTCTTTCAGATCACAAAGACTATGGCAAGTAAAATGGAATCTCTCGAAAGGTATGATCCAGGGATAGATCTGAATATTTCATAAAAAATATCGAGTTTAGTCCTTCTGTACTAGTATACAACCTTGATAAACCCTGGAGTATATTCCTCCTTTACTAGTATACAACCTTGATAAATACTGGAGTATATTCCTTCTGTTCTAGTATACAACCCTGATAATCCCTGGAGTATATTCCTCCTGTGCTAGTATACAACCTTGATAAACACTGGAGTATATTCCTCCTGTACTAGTATACAACCGTGATAAACACTGGAGTATATTCCTCCTGTACCAGTATACAACCTTGATAAACACTGGAGTATACTCCTCCTGTACTAGTATACAACCTTGATAAACCCTTGAATATATTTCTCCTGTACTAGTATATAAACCTTGATAAACCCTGGAGTATATTCCACCTGAACTAGTATACAACCTTGATAAACCCTGGAGTATATTCCTCCTTTACTAGTTTACAACCTTGATAAACACTGAAGTATATTCCTCCTGTACTAGTATACATCCTTGATAAACCCTAGAGTACATTCTTTTTGTACTAGTATACAACCTTGATAAACCCTGGAGTATATTCCTCCTTTACTAGTATACAACCTTGATAAATACTGGAGTATATTCCTTCTGTTCTAGTATACAACCCTGATAATCCCTGGAGTATATTCCTCCTGTGCTAGTATACAACCTTGATAAACCCTGGAGTATATTCCTCCTGTACTAGTATACAACCTTTATTAACACTGGAGTATATTCTTCTTGTACTAGTATATAATTTTGATAAACACTGGTTTAGGTTGAGTAAGAACACCCTGGATTATATCCCTCCAGTACTAGTATACAACCTTGATAAAGAAACCTTGTATCGGAAACTGAAGGTAGAAAATTTTTTTGAAGATTGAACACTGGGCAATGCTAATTCTAATTTTTATTGTTTTTTTGAAAGGGAGAGACCGGCTCGGTAAAATGTTTGAACCGAGGATGCAGTATTGTAGATAAAACAAGTAGGATTCGTCTGATCCGAATGAGACGTTTTTACCGAGTTTATTTTAAAAAACGAAAATTCGTTCGTTAAATTTCACCAGAAGGGATGTTTCGTAGGGGGAACGTTTTTACCGTTATTTTATAACCCGGACAAAAAATGTAAGACAAATTATTCTATAAATTAATCTGCTGTTTAGAAACATATTTCTCTTAAGAAAATATCAGTAAAGGTCATGGTATTACACCGTGAAAATGTCTGATTGGTATCAAATGAATCCTAAACTTTAATGCAATCGTGACCAGAAAGACCCGGAATTAATTGACAGTTAATCAGAAGACTTTACATATATATCTTTAGTAATTTTAAAGACACAATAAAGGCAGACCACATTTTAGAATTGGCAGGAATAGGGCTATTTTGTTCTTATCGTTTCATTAATCGTATTTGTAAAATTAGATTGCGAGGTCGTCTGACTAATTATAAATTAATTTCGGGTCTTTCTGATTATGACTGTACTTTTCGGTTTAAATACGTTACCTAGTCGGTATCTCCCTGTAAAAGAAAATACTCAGTTTTATGAAAACCATTATACGCCGATTACAATTTCGAGTAAATGTATTAATAGTTCATCTAATTAGGATTGCATTTAGAGATAATCAGATAATAGAAATCTATCTTGATCATCTAAATCATTTATTCTTTTCTTTTGCTCACACATTTGTCAAATTTAAGTTTTAATATTAACTAGTTTTTGTGGCAATAACGACTACGTTTTCAAACTAATTGCTTAAAAATCAATTAGCAAAATAACAATAAGAAACCCTCTTTTTGCTACATTTGGCAAAAATATCGTCGTTTTAGGAATCAAACCTTCAAACAAAAGTTTAAAATTAAGCCATCAGAGAATATATTTTACCGATAAAGCAGACCCAGTTTTGTTTCTTAAATCAATAATACGTAAAGTTGCAAGTGATTTTTTTCTGCACATCAGGAGAACAAATCAGTTTTGTTTTATTATTAAAAATAACAATGAATAATGTAGCAGATGTTACTGTTTTCAATAGTGAACTTTTATCTTTTTTAAAATTTCTTTAAAAATTTTCAGTTTTTAAATGATTTTTGTAATAATTAGGCTATATTACCTGTTGATCTTGATTGGCTCAACCTGGAGGAAGCATGGACAAGCTTTTTCGAGTCAGGTGATTGATTGTTAAGATAATGTTTTTCTAATGTATTACAGTGTGACCTATAAAACTGTGAAATATTCAGACGATATTAAAGCAATTTTATGTTTTTTATGTTGTTATAAAACAAAAGTGTTATAAAAGTGTTTAATGCTCAGTGGACTTTTCAAAATCATAACTCAAGTTTAACAGCAGTCGTTGTTTTCTTGCCTCACAACTTTATAGATCCCGCTATATCATCGTGATCACTTAATAGGGTATGAGGAGGGAGTGGTGCAAAGCAACCATGAGCTTGCGAACTGACCTACGGGGCCTCCTGACTCCCAATCATCTCCGTGCTTTTCTGAAATACGTAAATTTGTGCTTTTATTGGATTTTATCATTTTATTATTGAAGTATTTCTCAAAAACTATTACATATTTTGAGAATTGTGCTAATATAGCCTAATTCGTACATCATACACCTGTGAAATGGTGTAAAATTTGTCTATCATTGTATAAAGCTCAGCTGCAATAGTTATGCACAAGAAGTTAGAAAAACAAGAATAGGAGTCTTAATCTCAATTAAAGTAGACTTTTTAATGCAAATTGTTTATGTATCATCTAAAACTTTTTCATGTTTAGATTTTTCGAAAAAAAGTTTTTGGTGGATGTTAAGCCAAATATTTGTTTTTGGAGATAATAAATCTAGCCGTGGAGACAATATTGCGGGAGCTTGGAGATGTAGCGTGAGGCACCGGAGGTCAGTTAGTGGTGCTCAAGGTTGCTCTGCACCCACTCCCTCGCATGAGCGATCTTAAACTTTAATCTAAAGATAACAAATTTGTACTGTGGAATGTTCAGCTTGTTAAAGGAACTGTAAGCGTAACTTTAAGCGACCCTCTGTGTAAAGATGGAAATGCTCGATTTACCCTTTAAAGCGTTGTCTAATCAAGGTTGGATCATATTTTCATGTTTAAAATTTAAAAAACGCTGGTTTCTCTGCAAAAGTGACTTGCACTTCTACTGCAGGAAACCCAGAATTTTCCAACCAAAAGACAACCTTATTTTCCACAATATTGATCAGATAAAGGTTTCAAGGGTACCGTTGTGAATCTTACACAATATTGATCAGATAAAAGTTTCAAGGGTACTGTTGTGAATCTNGTCAGGTGTACCACTGTACCATCTAGAGTATTCCAATATTACTCCACGTGTCAGGTGTACCACTGTACCATCTAGAGTATTCCAATATTACTCCACGTGTCAGGTGTACCACTGTACCATCTAGAGTATTCCAATTTTACTCCACGTGTCTGGTGTACCACTGTACCATCTAGAGTATTCCAATGACTTTGAATATTACTCCTGACTAATCTAGAGTATTCCTATATTACTCCTGACTAATCTAGAACTCGAGCCCTGCGGTTGGATGGGAGTTTGGATTCCTTCTTTCGAGGTATTAATGATACTGTTCCGTATTTTCCAAAAATATTTTGGTAGAAAACCTCAAAATCGCATTTTTGCTGAGGGGATTTTTCAATTGTCTTCTAAACAATCGTAATTCAGAAAACTAAAAGTTGGAATTTTTATGAAATGTCTTAATTTCGGGATAATTATTATTCAAAATTAAACTGAAACATAAAACCAGTTTGAATGTTGTGAAATTAAATCCTTGAATTAACCAAAAAATGCCCATAACCTGGTCCTGGTAGAAGAACTTATACATTGTTCAGTCTGCTGAGTGCCACGGTGTTCCTGGAGGACGAGATGGAGCTTGTGTTGTTGATGTTCTTGATGTAGATCTTAATCAGTTGTCTGCAGAGGTAGGATCTAGTCTTGTAGATCTTAAACATTTGTCTGCAGAGGTAGGAACTAGTCTTGTAGATCTTAAACATTTGTCTGCAGAGGTAGGAACTAGTCTTGTAGATCAAGTAACAGAAACATGATTTTAGGTTGAAGTTTTGAGAAGTCCTGAAGATTTCACTAAATCTGAAATAAGGAAATCATTTCCATAATGAAAAAAAAATTATCCTAAAATGAGTTTGGTTTTAAAGATCTTAATTTTCTCATTGAAAACTTTTCATTTACTAAGCTTGAAGAACAAATTATGTACTTACTGTACTGCACAGCAAAAGTATCCAACGTTAATGGAATGATTGTGTGCCTAGTGTACATTTAAAAGAGCTTTACCCCCTGGCCCACCAAGAGAATGAACATCTTAATATACAGAGGACTGCTGAAGCATTAGAGGTCTACAGATTCTTCTACAAGGCAGGTTTAGACCATAGGAATTGTCATTGATCATGTCATGGACATTGGACATTGACATGCTCAAAGTCAATGAGCATTGATCACTTTTCAGTGCACCCTTTTTTTTGTTTTACTTATTTTTTGTCACTTCGATTTGGGATCCATGGATCTACATATTTTTGCAAATATAGATTTTGATCCAATAGAATTTAATGTGAAAAATCCAGAGGAGGATCCAATCCTGATCCTAAGCATTACTAAAAACAGTAAACTTAACTATAATGCCCATGACCTTGTACACTGTCCAGGTTTAGGACTTTGACCATAACACTGACATTGACCATGAGCATGGAAATGACCCACACTATGAACCATATCATTAGCTAGGACCTTGACCATGACTATGAAGTATTTCAGTATTTGTGGAGGCCCTGGGATGTTGGAACCCATGTAGAGAACTGGACAGAATCAACTCTCAAGAATAGAATTGATCTTACATTTGATCTCATTCTTCAAACCGGTAAATCAAATAGTTTTCATTTATTTAGTTGGATATTTGTATCAGTTTAATATTTTATCAAGTTTGCAGAGATCTGAAGTTTACTTAATCTTCTTAGTTTGACCAGAATCCATTTAATGTTTCAGGAAACTGTGGAATAGCACAGAGGTTAGAAAAGCTAGCCAGGTAGAATTAAGATTTCAATTCAAAGTTTAAAAAACAGTGGTGACCAGAAGTTTTAAGAATGATTGAAGTTGTCTTTCATTTTTTAGTGAAGAAATTTGCAATGGATTTTTTAGTTTTTATAACATTTAAAAAAGTTTAATGGTTACAAAAGATTTGGAGGTTTATAATTTCTTTAAATATAATCCCCCAATTGAAAAAAAAATCTCCGAGCTGTAAGGTACATATAAACGGAGTGTAATTTTTCTAGTTTTTTAATCGCTAAATTGGGCAAAATAAATAATTTTTAGGGGAAAATTAATGACCTAGGGTTAAAAGTGGAAAGAACTTGTCAGTTGATTTCCAGTTTTTACAGCACACCTTAAATGTATATACCTCTCTGAAAAGATAGAAAGAAAAAGACACTCAATCAACTGTATTTTTTGTTACCATTGTATGAATATTATGTTGCGGTGTAGTATGTAATCAAAAATGTTCATATAAATTGTACAATCCTTCTGTGAAAATAAGGAATACAATTCCTGAACCTTTGGTTCTGTTTAGTGAGGCCAAGGAAACTATAGCAGAGTTAACTGTTCTAGAGGAATCTGCTGCAGCATTTAATCAAGGTAAAATTCTTCATTATCATTAGTGTTTTGAAATTAGGCTTTTGATCAATTCCCAATTTTACTATTTAGAAATTCAGGGCGCTTCGCGCCCTTCTTTCAAGGCTTTTAGGGCCGCCTATCTCCTATTTAAATTGTGAACATGTTCTTTTTGTTTACATTTTAAAACAAAAAAGAAAAAATTTTGCGAATTTTTAAAAAAAAAAATTCGCGGATTTTCAAGAATTTAATTTTTTTACAAAATTAAAAACCTTTAATACACAATACACATTTTTAAAAATTTTTATCATTCATAAACCTTCCCTGTGGTCACGTGATGTCCCACAAAAATTTGGGCCCGATCGGTTCAGCCGTTTTGACGTTTATTGGATACAAACAGACAGACAAGCCAAATTTATATATAGATATATGTACATTTCCAATTGTTGTGTGCACGCCTTATAAAGCGTATTAGAATGTATATGCCTGGATCCTGAGTATAGCTTCAGTAAGACCTAAACCAAATATGGACGCTGATGTAGACATTCTTTGATTTCTTTTCTTAATAGATGACACTCGTTTAAACCAAACTTTCTTCTCCCCCTTTCATCTTTTGTTAAACTGTAAGAAAATCTATCAACACCATCCAAATAAATAATCAAAGAAGAAACAGTTTATTTAGAGAGAGTAGTTTGAAACCGGTCATCCACAGAATATCATTATAATTAGTATATAGTTATACAATTCTTCCGGCGTTAAATACATGCCAAATTTTCCAGCAAGATATTTTACAAGGCAATAAACTTCCAACAAACTTGTCTCGACACATATTTCTCTTTCCTTTCAGTACAATACATTTAGAAATATGCTCACATACAGAACTTGCATTAGAGAAAAAATATTTTTAAAAGTACAAGACTAGAACAAGATTAGAATGCTAAAAGAGAGTTATGCGTAATGCTTTTTTTCTTGATACAATGCATAAATTTGAAATTCTTCGAATGGGCATTAGTATTTTTTTATGAATAAAATTTATATGCCTTCTTTCTTTCTGATTAAGGCTTTAAGATTTAAGAAAAAATATGATTAACAAGAACAGAATGCTATTGAAAAGTTTAATATCAAGGTCAAAATGCATGTATAGACATTAAGAGAAGATGTTACTGAGGCAGTTAAGACCTCCCCTAATCAGAATAGAATTTGTTTTCTATGAATTCTAGGAACATTTGAGATATTGATACAGCTGAAATCCCAAGCATCATTCCAAGCAGACCACCAATACCATTCAACAACTCAGAGAGGTCGTAAACTAGAGCTTCTGAGATGTACTAAGAATAAATATTATGTTAGAACATAAAAGAATTTGTCCTACAAAAATTATTTAAGCCCTCCTGTTTCAGAAGAAATTGCCATAGAGCAAATTTTTGTGAGACAAATGTTAAAAATAAACAAGTTAATGAAGTGAAAGATTACACCTCGATACGGCCTGACTTGGCTTTAAGTATAAACTCAGATGTCCAATTTGTTTTCCAATAAATCCTTTCCTGTTCCAGTGTGTACTTCCAAACTTCCCTGGTACATGGAACAACACAACCTAGTTTAGTTGACTTTTATATTGAATTTTATTATATGCCCTTGCAGGGGCAGCAGGGGGGGCTGCAAATTCACAAGGTGGGGGGGGGGGCTTTCTGATCTTTCCTTTTTAATTTCCTTAATTGATATAAAACTGTGTCAAATATAAACAAAAATCTATATATACTGTATAAAAATAGTAAGTTTAAATGGATCATATTTAGCAAGTACTCAACCAATCTGAAAACAACAATATCCCAGGGGAGCCTAAGAAACTTAGGTTATCTCCTATTATTATTTGAATTTAATAATATGAAGTCAGATTGTCGATATCTCTTTCCGGAGTCTTGGAACCCCTGAAAAGTGACCTCCGTCGGCTCCGATTTTTTATCTCCGGCCTCGTTGGACAGAAATAGCCCATTTTTTAAATATATACTCCCAATGACCCCTAAAATACACAAAAAAAATTATATTTTTTTATCAAGTTTTTGATGTCAAAACAGGGTGTCAAAAATTGCGGTTTTTTTGATTTTTTTTAAATTGCAAAAAATGACAAGTTCTGGTAAAAAATATCGGAGTAAAAGAAAAGATAAAATATTATTTATATTATTATCTAACACATTGATGAAAAAAAATTTAAAAAATTTATTTTTTCGTGGGCTACGGGTGTTAATATTATTTTTTTTTTTTACCTTTTTAGGTATTTTCCTCCCTTTTATAAATGGTGGCTTGTTCTAATTTTAAAAATAATGTTATATAATTACCTAGGAGCATGAGCAGGATATGAAGTCAAGATTACCAATATCTCTTTACGGAGATTTTTAACCTCTGAAAAGTGACCTCCGTCGGCCCCAATTTTGTGTCTCCGCCTCGTTGGACATAAATAGCCAATTAGAAAAAAATACTCCCTATAGCCCATAAAATGAATGAAAAAAAATATCCAAGTTTTTAATGGTATAACAGGGTGCCGAAAAGTGCTTTTTTCGATACTTTTAAAAATGAAGAAACCAACTTTTTACATTATATTTTCCTTCCTTTTATAGATGGTGGCCGGTTCTAATTACCTAGGAGCAGGATATGAAGTCAGATTACGGATATCTCTTCTCGGAGACTTGGAACCTCTAAAAAGTTACCTACGTCGGCTCCGGAGATACAAAATTGGAGCCGACGGAGGTCACTTTTCAGAGGTTCCAAGTCTCCGTAAAGAGATATTGGTAATCTTGACTTCATATCCTGGTCATGCTCCTAGGTAATTATATAACATTATTTTTAAAGTTAGAACCAGCCACCATCTATAAAAGGGAGGAAAATGCCTAAAAAGGACCTGATTTGTCAAAAAAAAAAAATATATAAACACCCCGTAGCCCATGAAAAAAAAAAAAATTTTTAATTTTTTTTTCATCAATGTGTTAGATAATAATATAAATAATATTTTTTGGTGTATTTTAGGGGTCATTGGGAGTATATATTTAAAAAATGGGCTATTTATGTCCAAGGAGGCCGGAGATAAAAAATCGGAGCCGACGGAGGTCACTTTTCAGAGGTTCCAAGACTCCGGAAAGAGATATCAACAATCTGACTTCATATCCTGCTCCTAACAAATCATATGAGTCTACATTCAAAAATAGAACCGGCTGCTATTAATATTGAAAGAGATATTATAAAATGTCTTACTTGACACGGGTTCTTTACTATTTTTATATAACACTTTATATATGTAGATTTTTGCATAAATTTGACACAGTTTTATATCAATTTCTCAAGACAAGAACATCAGTTAGAACTCTCATGGGTCTCGATCAACTCCTAAAATGCTTATGTTTCAGCCTATTCTCCCTTGCATTTTTCCTTAATAATCCTCTTAAAAATCTATCTATAAGAAGTTTTTTACCTGTTGTATCTTTGATTTCAGGATAAGATACAGATTTAAGTAGAAACATTGTTTTTGCGATATTTTTGACTTGGGAAATATTTGTGCATGCTGGAAATCCATTAGTCTGGTTGGTAAACCAATCCAGGGCACAACCAGCTTGTTCATAGATGTAATTGGTTAAACAAGCTGTCATAGAATACTCCTAAAATATATTTAACAAAGGTGCTTTTTTTAATTAATAAACCAACTTAAACTAATACAATTTGGATCAGTTTCAACCAGTCATGAATTATTTTTTACCCATCTGGAAAAATCTTGAATTAGATATATAATAATTTTAGGAAAGGAAAAAAATAGCCTGTCAAAAAATTATGAAAACTGAAGTTTTTTGTTATCTGAATTTTTGATTAAGCAGCTGTAAGCCATGATAAGCTACGAGCTGGTAAGCTGTGTTGATCTGGTTACACTGTTTAAGCGAAACCAATCCACCAGTAGATTTAAGTTCTAGAAGCTATTTACTTTTAGTAATATTATTTATTAAAATATATAGAAGATCATAACTGGAAAAGTTGGTAAAAGGATGGATATGACATGTAAGATTTAATGGGGCATTGACAATTACTAAAAAATAAAAAGGTTTGGAGGGGCTAATGTCTACTTTCTTACCTCCAAACAGAAATCAAATATTAGAGCGCATTTGATTTAAAAGGCCATTCATTTAGCTGTATTACTGAGGTATGGTGAAGTAAAATTCTTGGCTATCAAACATGTCGGAAGGAACCATTTTTTGAAAGGCTAATTTTTTTGGATGGCAAGTTTTCTTGGTGGTGAATACAGTGGTAAGGAAGGAATATACTAAAATACATTTTTTTTACACTTACAACATCCTCATTACATTGCAGGGATCCTGGAAATCTAGTTTCTACAATTTTCTCAAAAGTGACCTTAATAATTTAAAATGTTTATTCTGAAAAATTTCACTTTTTTTGCTACTCACTGTAAAACTCTTATGCTGTCCCAATTCTATATGCTCAGTTTGTCCATTTGTAGTCAAACTATCAGCTGGCCAAAAATGCTAAAGTATATATTCACATGAGGCAGAAATACAGAATTGACAGATAAACAGCAAACTCTAAGTAAAACCAAGCCTCAGCCTCTGTTAACACTCAAGTAAAGGCCAAGGGAAGACTCAAGCTTAAACTAGAATCAGTTTAAAGTTTTTTTTTTAACAATTTATTATTTAGAATTTTTAATCTTATAAGTTTGATACGGTTGATATACAGAAAAATTATGATTTGATTCTTCTTCTTGTCATTGTTTCTCTCCTTCTTCTTTAACTCTGCTCAATTTTAGCTGTAGTTTTCAGTTTTATTGCCTATCCAAAAATGCCTGGACTCTTTAAACTGATTGAAGGTTAATTACAGGACTGATTCAGCTTCAAACACATATTCCTGATATATTTTCTGTTTAGGGTGAAAGGGAGGTGAAATAGAGGGAGGGAGGGGGGGGGTGTCTCCCAGCCCTATCTCAAGTAATGTCTCCATTTGCCAACAGGAAAAATTGATGGTGTAGAGCTTATCATCAAAGAGTTGCCTACTATTTTTTCAATTTTCTTTTTTCTTGTTTTGTTTGTAGGTTTCTGCAATTTTACTTTGAGCTTCATGTCCAAATTCTGGTTACCTCTGGTGATCTTAAAAGTGGAGCCCACAACATTTGTTGACAAAGAAATCAATTCCAAATGCTGTTTGTGACAAATAGAGGGGTTGGAAATATGGAGTAGGTAGGAAGGAAGGGTATCGAGGGACTCCTAGAAAGATCTCCCGGATTTATATTCTTTCCTAGTTCTGCGGCAATTTAGGTAACCTATTGGAGTGGCACCTCATGTTTATCAATTGGGAGTTGCCACTATTGTACTTCAGAATACAGCCTCATCTACAGCCATCTCTTCCTCACAGCTGGCAGAGTGTAAACCGTTATCATTGTGGATGTTGCACAACCTATCAAGATTGTACTTAATATTTTTGCATTTTCCTTATTTCTGGCAAGAGGAAGTGAAAGAGAAGCAGAGAAATCCCTCCTTCTCTGCAATATTATTTTCTTTTTTTCCAAGTAGTGTATACTGCCATGTTTTATTCCAAACAGGATTCTGCTCAGGCACAAGAAACTAGGAGAGAGTTGAAAAAGAACCTGATTGTGCTAAAGCTCCGAGGCAGCTGAGATTCAGTTTTAAGTAAAACCTATCTGAGTGGTCTTTGCAATTCTGAGTGACAGGGCCTTTTAAGAACTTAAATTTTTATTTTTAAAAACGATTGCCCTTTTTAAATTGGTGATATCTATAAGATAATAATAAACACAAGATAATAATAAAAAATTAGTAATGAAGTAACTGGGGTTTGAAAAGTGTCTACTCGTTAGGATTGGTATCTCTTTAGTGCAAGTACCTTAATAGATTTTTTTAAGCAGAACTCTAAATTTTATCCGGAAGAAAGCAAAACTTTCCAAAATTATTAAGATTTGCTTTTTTTCATTAAAAATTATCCAACAAATTTTACACATTAATAAATGTAATGTAAAATTCAATGGAAAAATGAAGTAATTATATTTTATAATTTTGAAGGATAAATGTGTTATGTAAGTGATGATCAATAGAATATTTAAGTTATGAACTATATTCAGCTTTTAGGCCACTCTTGAAAAATATCATTTTCAATTCCAACCCCCTTCCAGTGCTAAAGCTAATGTTATTGCTAACCAAACAATGTGACAAAACATTGGTAATGAAGTATAATATTGGCAAATTGCAATAACAAGCAACCAAGAAATTTTGGTCACCTTCTTAGAATGGAGATAGATGTCATAGCCTTTTAAAGATAAATAGTGGGTTTTCTCTCCATTGCCCATGTAAGCATACAATTGTCCTTGTCTACCAGAGGGGTATTTTTGGTGAGGAGTGTATGTTAAACAATGGCCTGACCCCCATACATCTAAATCAAACAATCTTCTGTGCCATAGTTTTTCAAATAATGGTCCAGCCATATTTTTTGAGGCTGTCGGGTGAGGAACGGACCCATCACACTCTGGGCTACAATGGCCATAGTAATCAGGAACGAGTGAGTTGTTTTTGAATACTCTTGTAGCGCACCATAATTTATCAGATTGGTGTAGACTAATGCATTTTGGGAAAAACTGAAGAGGTACTGTCTGATTGAATGATTCACAGTAAAAGCTTGATTCTGGATTCTCCGAATCACTTACGGCACAATCACGTCGTATAGCAGGAAAAACACAAGGAAGTCCTTTCAACTTTCCATCTATAGTATTGCATTCAAAACTTGTTCCATTACCTTCATGATTGACAAAATGAAAAAGCTCATCTCTATCCTTTGTGTTTTTAATTGTGAAGTCCTTGGCAAGATTACTTGATCCATCTTCTACCTCAGTCAGAAATTCTGTGTGATGACTTTCGAAGATGAATTTCTTGCAGAAAGACACAGATGGAAAATCAATCAAAGGTTGATCTGTGAAGTTACTAAAAATAATTATTGTGGAATATTACTTTTAAGAAGTTAAATACATATTGGAAGGAATTTGATGATTTGGTGAGAGGTTTGTTCAAATCCTGAATAAGTGCTTAGAATTCTCTTGGGATTTTGGCTTCTTGGATCTGGATCCGCAAAAATATGCAGATCCAGGACTGTAGGTATAAAATGCCCCAGTTTTATAAAATAAAAGTATAAAGTGTCAAGTTCTAAGGTAGTGAGATTCATGAAAAAAATAAAAAGTGAGATTTCAAAATCCAAAGTGAAAATATAAAATTTAAACTTTTATTTTTAAACTGTGGTATTGGCGGTAGTGAGATTTGAAAATTAAAAATCAAAAAAAAATTCAAACTTTTATTTTCAAACTGTGGTATTGACGGTAGTGAGATTTCAAAATTNGCCAATACCAGAGTTTGAAAATAAAAGTTGAAATTATATTTTCTCATTTTGGAATTTCAAATCTCACTACTGCAAAAACCTCTAGTTTGAAAGTATTTTCATTTTCTGATTTCGAAAAAAAGGCATTTAATAATCTGAAAAGTTTTAAGAAAATGTACAAAAACTAGCTTTTAAAACCTTCAATACCATTTTCTTTTTAAAAAAACATAAAATTTTCGCTCAAAAAGAAGGCATTTTATACAAACACGATCCAGGATGCAAAATATCAACCAAAAACTGCAAAAAAAATTAATTTGCCATAAAAACTCAATCTTAACTGTTGAAAAAGAGAGATGTCCCTATCTCTGACAAGTGAAAAAGAGAGAAAAATAATTCAAAAATTCTTCAAAAATTCTTGGTAAATCTTAAATTAAATCTTAATGACCTGGATCCAGATCCTGATTCCGTTTAATTTTGATTTGGATTCGAATCCATTATTTTTAATTGCAAATTTAGGATTTGGTTATTTACCTGATCATAACAGTGTTATATTCTAGATATTTTAACACTGATAATCTCCCAATGCAGATAAACAATACAAGAAACACGGCATATAATGTATAATAAACATACTTTAGTAGACCTTTCATCCCAGGGCTGGTGTTTAAACTTAACTATTTGTAACTATTGTTTATTTAGGTAAGCTTGTCGTTGTCTAATAGAGCAAATAAATTTTATTTGAAATCAATATTTGTATTTGTTTTTATTGGAAAATTGAGTTTTGACTTGCAAAATAGAGATAAATATTTTTTAAACAATGCAATATTTTAAATAATTTTAATTGCAGGGAGATTACTTTTGAATCATTTGTTACGGAATTAAACTTATCAGCTGATAATGTTCTTAAGAAACTATTGCCTATGACCACATTGATTAGTCTGATTTAGATGAGGATGATGTTACTGATGATGATCAGACGGATGGGATTGATTTGGACCTGGCCGGACAGATAGCAAGCTTACATCTCAAGACAGAGGAAATTAAGAGAGAGGCTGAACTTCTTGAGGATCCTGTTCTTAGACAGGTCAGGAGGTTTGGAGGTCAGGTGGTCAGAATGTTAGGAGGTTTGGAGATCAGGTAGTCAGAATGTAAGGAGGTTTGGAGGTCAGGTGGTCAGAATGTCAGGAGGTTTAGAGGTCAGGTGGTCAGAACGTAAGGAGGTTTGGAGGTCAGGTGGTCAGAATTTAAGGAGGTTTGGAGGTTAGGTGGTCAGAATGTAAGGTTTGGAGGTCAGGTGGTCAGAATGTCAGGAGGTTTAGAGGTTAGGTGGTCAGAACGTAAGGAGGTTTGGAGGTCAGGTGGTCAGAATGTAAGGAGGTTTTGAGGTCAGGTGGTCGGAATGTAAGGAGGTTTGGAGGTCAGGTGGTCAGAATGTAAGGAGGTTTGGAGGTCAGGTGGTCAGAATGTAAGGAGGTTTGGAGGTCAGGTGGTCAGAATGTTAGGAGGTTTGAAGGGTGATAGTTAAAGGGAGTGTTCGCAAAATATTATGAAATATCAACTATAAAAGAATCCATTGAATTAAATTCGGAAATAGGTTATAATATCTAAATAGTTAGTTTTAAATTAAATTGAATTATTTACGATCTGAGTGGAAAATTGCAACTCCGTGAATTTGTATGGACGCAACGTTCTTCGTTATGAGTTGTGTTAAACCAATTTCTCCTTGCAGACGCAACAGATAGAAGTACGATTATTAGCGATCACCATCGAATTCGATTCGATGTTCGCCTGTACCCTCTTTCATTTTTCGCGAACACTCCCTTTAAGAAGGTTAGGGAGTTAGGGTTTAGGAGGTTAGGAGGTCAGGAGATCCGAATATTAGGAAGTTAGTAGGTTGGGAGTTAAAGAGGTTAAGAGTGAAAGAGCTAAAAAGGTAAAGAGGTTAGGAGGTTGGGAGGTTAGAATGTTTGGGTTTAGAAGGTTTGGATGTCGGCTGGTTCGTTACAAGGTAAAAATTTGGCATAATGTAAGAATGGCAATTGTTTTCAAAAAATTTTAAAACATTTGTTTTTCTAATATTATGTCAAATTTTGACTCTAATAGAAGATATATGCGATAAACGATGCAAATCCGAAGATGTAATGATAGTTTTTGGTCATGGAGGTTTAGTGTTAGAAGATTGGGAGGTCAGGAGGTCAGATAGGAGGCTAGGGTAGGAGGCCATCTAGTATGCCTAGAAGCAGAGCTCCTAATTGATTTTTTAAACAATTACTTAATACTCATGGTGTTGACCTAAATAAGCAATAGAACAAAGAATAAGTGAATTAAATTAGTGTAAAAAAAAACAGTTGATAAATTAAGAAGTTTTTTTTTTCATTAGTAAAAAATGTTAATGATAATTATTAATTACTATTTTCCCTAATGCTTGAACCAAACAAAGCTATAAATATTGGGATGTCTTGAAGCAAAGAAGTTGATAATAGAGAGCATTGAAACCATTATATTTTCTTTAATTCTGTGTAATGATTGTCGGTTTGTTCTTGCTTTGTAATATGTAGATTTTGTAACAATTGTTTCAATATATTTCTAAAAAAATTGAGAGCACTCTTACATATAAATAGATAAATAGATTATAAAATCCTTAATGATATTTCATGATTACAAGAAAAAGGCAACAACAAGCCCACTATTATTTGGATTTCTCTGTAACATGCGATCTGAATGAAATGATGAACCAAGGTGCTGAGTTCTAGTGAGCAGAGGAAGAGAAGGGAGGAGAGGACAGATAACCGTCCAGCTGTTATTATAGTCTGGAAAAACGGATCCATCAAGGTAACCTGGGCGGAAGGCGTGTATTACATGCGTATTAGTATTATGGGTGAAGGCATGAATTAATTAACAATAACAGACAGAACACTAGATGTCGTCTTTTCAAGATTTAGGGGTTTTTCGTTCACAATAACCCTGAGGCAGAATCCCATAAGTATCGCGCATGCTGCGCCGAATGACAGGACAGAGAGAGAGCATGCGTGTAACTCCATTGGGCTGCTGCCTCAGGGTTATTGTGAAAGAAACCCTATAAATCTTTAAAAGACAAAATTTAGTGTTCTATCTGTTATTGATAATTAATTTATAAGCGAAGACGACTGTGCAGCCAGAACACCCCTATCGATTCCCTTTAATTGATTAATTAATTAAGGTTACAACACTATGCGATTGGCCTAACCTTTTGTATTTTTAATCCCTTCCGATAAAGTACTAATCCGTATTTGTTAGTTAGTTAGTTAGTTAGTTCCTTTTGAATATTTCAACAAAGAATTTTAATCTTGAAGGGAGAAAGTCCTTAATCCATGAAAAAGAGTTAATAAATTAATTTCTGGTTTTTTCCTTTCGCTAAAAATGTGCAAATATATAAATATTTAGACGTACAAATTCTAATGATTCCTTTTCGGTTTCATGCAGTAGAAATGCGCAAGTCAGTTTTGTAGAGAAACCGCAATTGAAAATAATCAGTTTTCAAGATCTTAAATAATTCATACTTGAGAAGACAAAGCTTTTATTACGAATCATATAAAATCATATAAAATTTTACTCGTATTATCTTTTAATTTAGGAGTTAGGAGAAGTTCTAAGAAATATCGCGGAATCAAATCCACCAGGAATATACTAAAATTCATTTTATAAATAAAAATGCGAATCTGTGACTTAAAAATATGTTTTATTTGAAACTCTATTTTTATCAATTCACAAATTTGAAAAAAATACATCTTCGTAACTCTCCAAAGATCAATATCGATGTTCTGTTAAATAAATTGTTGTTAATGTTCTTAAACCCCCAAAAAATGCCTGGAAGATAGATCAGGAACTCCACATGTTTTAGAAAATATAAAAGTGACAAATAAAGTTCTTACAATTTTATTTTAAGAATCTGCCGAAAAAAAAGCAATTTTTCAAAAATCCAAACAGTAGAGCAGCATACATTCGAATGTTTGCATATAAAATTGTACAAAACTTGATTAAGGAATTGAGGCTTTGCCACAAATTCTGATTTTATTTTCCCTTTTCGAAAATTTGAGTTTGTGGCAACGACTCAATTCTTCAGATATTTTATTACATCTAATTGAATTTAAGAATATATCAGATACTCCTGTACACGTAGTTTCTAATGTACAGCACGGAGCGGACATATTAGTACAAGGAGATACATTACACATTCCGGTTCCAGGGGTACATAAGGTACATACAGGGTGTCTCCCAAAAAAGCGTTTTTCTTTTGTATGCAATTTTTTTTAATCCCTTTTTATATATAACTATAAAAGACCCAGAATTAAAAATTTAATTGTTTAGTACAAGTTTAAGACTTCTACATACAAACCCAGTTATAAATATCTAGATTAATGATTGTCCTGGACTCTCCCCTGTAAAAAAACGCGTTTTTAACTATTTTATCAAAACACGACCCTATATATCGAAGATTCAATTCGGATTCAGCAAAGAACCCCTTCTAGTTTTAACGAGCACTCGATTTAAGGAACAATAAGATGTTATTTCAGTTGTCAGGGATAAGCAATCTTCCCTCCGGAGTTAAAATCCAGGGCGGACAATCTCTTCAATCCTCCGCCTCACTTGTAAATAAATCCGCCGCTCTAGAAGATACTACTCTTGGGCAGTCCGGCTTCTCGGAGATTTCGGGAGTCGAAGAATTACAATCTACCGTGAAAAGTGAGACCTTTGGCGGATGTATGAAAGAATCTTCAAGCATTTTTGAGGACTTCGGCGGATTATCCTCTAAAAATGGCGGAGAGTTCTCAGAAAACCCTTGTGTTCTTAGTCCGGATAATGTTGGAGATACATTACTAGGGGTTGATGGTAAGTGCTCCAGATCAGGGGTGNTTTTCTAACAGAAAAAAAGTTCCGTGCTTTTTTGTTTTAACGGATTTTTTCATATTTTATTAAACTACAAAGCATGAAATAAATTATCACAATTTACCTCGTAGTCTGGACCCGCCTAAATCGTAAATAGCAAATGGTTTTGAAATGAACAAACAAAATCTAAATTAACAAATAAACCATGGAGAAAATGAAAGCTGTGAAGTGTTGAAGGAAAGTACCAAGTTGTCTCTATATTTCTACAGAAATATTGGAAAGTACTTAGTTGTCTCTATATTTCTACAGAAATATTGGAAAAGAATTCATATTTTGTAATTGTTCTTGCAAATGACATTTCCTTTAAAATGTTCGAAGCTTTTGAATAGAGTATCATTAATCTTAAACGATTAATCTCGATATTTATGTCCTGAGGCCGAATTTAAATAATTTGAGCCGCGGCTCAAATATGGTTGGTTCCACCTAAAATCGTATTAATGATTTAGGATTTAAGTCGACGCTCAATTGAAATCGGTTTTCGGGGGATTTGAGACGTGGCTCGAATTCATTAAATTCTGATTCAGCATTTAAAAATTTGACAAAGAAGACTTGATCCCTTATTGAATGTTATCCCTTTATGGTATAACCACCACGGGATATCGAAGAGGATTTAAATTTATTGATAAGTCTTCACTACAGACACCAATGCTTGATCCAGAGTTTCCCAAAAGGGATTAGAAATTGTTCAGCTTGAAAAGATATAATCCGTAGCGACATGCATGACAGAAAAGACGACTATAAGAATTTCACTGGTTCTCTCTGTATGTACAAGAAGAGAGATAAATGAAAATCCAGAATTTCTGTTTCCAATCTGTAAAACGTTGTTTTTATTTCAAGATTTAACTTGTTTCGTGAAAAGTTAGTATTTTGGAAAAAGTTTATTTGATCTGGGTCGGAAAACAAAATGTTTTATATATAACACTGCGTTCTATAACATTTTTCAGCTCTATCTGGGTTTTGGTTCTAAAATTTATTCTGTGCTGTTTAGAGGACCTGGAGTTAAGAGACCTTGTCCTTGACCTACCTTCTTCTCTTAGCATAGGTAACAGTAACTAGATGTTCATTTCTGCATCTGTTGAAATTAGAAAAACAAGAAGGGGTTTGATGAAGGCTTGTTTCTGATCGTTCGTTGGTTTGTTTGTATCCAATAAACGTCAAAACGGCTGAACCAATTAAACCCTAATGTTTTCTGTGGTTATTCCTGGGAATTTTTCAATTTCAATATTAGATAATTTTGAAAATCTAAGAAAATGAAAAACCAATAAATAATTTTTTTTAATGAAAAAATAAGAAATTCCAGCGACAAAAAAAAATAAGATCATTACTAGAAAATAGAGGGTAATTGTCATTTAAGCCTTGTAATGATTTTCTTATAATAAAAGATTACATAACTACGTTTCCCCCTTTTTTTGTGTAGTTGAAAATTAGAGTCTATGTGAAATGATCATTGGTCAATTATGAAACCAGCCTATTTCATAATTTGGTTTACTTTTAACATTAATTTTAGATTTTCTATAAAATGATAATCCAGGGCCCAAAATGTTATATAGCATAAATATGTGAAGTACACCTGCAGTATGGAAACAGTACAACAAAATGGCCGTTTTACACTTTTTTCTAGTAAATTCCTCTCTATATATATTCTATTCTCTTTGCAGAACCCAATCTTGTTAAATATTTTATGTTTAGAATGGAAGAATTGGAGTGAAACTTTTAAAAGGAGCAGTTGGGATTCTTAGGAACTGTACTATCCAAGGTAGATAAAGAGTATTGAACAAATCTATACGGACCTCACAACTCCTATAGAAATGTTGCTCACTTGTGACGTTGAATAAAGCATAGAAAGAGAAACAAGTGATCTTTTCAAAGGGGTTTAAAAAAATGTTATCTGTTAAAATAAACATATTGTAGACCTAGTGGTAGGCAACGTTTTGTTAACATTTACAAATTTTAAGCTTGTGATACAATCCACAAGATTTTCTTTTTTCATCCGATTTTTAAACGTTCGTCTTGCTTCGTTGAGGCTTATAGCACAATCAACATTTTCCATTTGTTCATGAAAGCAAACTAATAAGAAAATTAAATTTCAATTCACGTAAGACGTAAAATTTAATTATCAGGTTGTGGAAAAGGAATTGTTCAGACAAGGAACTCCAAATTAGAGAAGGAAAACATTTTCCTTTTGTTTATAAAAGCAAACTAATAGAAAATTATATTTTAATTCACGTAAGACATAAAATTTAGTGGATTCTCTTAAGAGACAAAAAAATCTTTTTGAAAGCAATTTATTATCAGGTTGTGGAAAAGGAATTGTTCAGTCAAGGAACTCCAAATTAGAGAAGGGAAACATTTTCCATTTGTTTATAAAAGCAAACTAATAGAAAATTATATTTTAATTCACTTAAGACGTAAAATTTAGTTTCTTAAGAGACAAAAAAAAACTTTTTGAAAGCATTTTAATTATCAGGTTGTGGAAAGGGAATTGTTCAATCAAGGAACTCCAAATTAGAGATGGAAAACACCCAGGTAGGATTATTTACATAAAGTGACTGTAGAGTTTAGACGTACTTTAAAGTGACTGTACAGTTTAGACATACTTTAAGTGACTGTACAGTTTAGACATACTTTAAAGTGACATGTCAAATTCACAGCCACCTTTGTCTGATCTAGAATAAATAATGCATTTTTAAAGGAACTAGAGTTTTAAGCAAAGTTTTAAAGTGTCATTTCTGTTCAATGTTCATTCTGTTGATTCTGATGTTTTTATCAAGATTTGTCAAGTACTTATTTTTATCTGTTACATTCCATTTATTTTTATTTTTGCTTTCTACCTTTTCCTTTCTACAGGTTTCTAGTTGTGATGTTGAAGTGGAAATGGACGATTCTGCTTTAGGTAAATATTTATTTTTATATTGCTTGTAGATTAAAGTTTTAGGACCATTCTTAAAGCATAGTTTCAATGCCCGATTCCCAACGGTACCCGTGAAACCTGGTCAATAATCTGGAAAATATTATCGTTTTTCTAATCGTTTTAATTCTGATAATTTCTTTGTGTTTTTTTTGCGGTAGAAATGCGCAAGTCACTCTTGTAGAGAGATCACAATTAAAAATTATCTGTTTTCAAAATTATTAACATTAATATGTCATTCATACTTGATAAGACAAAGCTTGTAAGGGTACTGTTGTGAATTGGGCAATGCCATATTTCCATGGGGGTCCCTTGAAATTACACCGAAAGTCCCTTTAAAATTTCAGGTTGTATAAGATTGAAATGGCAAAGTTGATGATTTGTCTCCCAAATTCTGAAGAAAAAGGTCGTCTCGAAAATGTTAAGAAAATTTATCAACTTGATAATTAACCTTGAAAGTTTGCATATTTATTTCTTGTCAAATCTTGGGAATATCAAGTCAAACTTTCAAATCCGACCAACAAGGGGGGGGGGGATTATGGATATTCAACCCCCTACCCCCATTGCAAATACGTGGAGGTGGACATTTTATCGAAGCATGCAATCAAAAAGGAAGGGTTAAAACTTGTGTAATACTTTTTTTTCACCCAAATGTTTGAGTTTTAAGTAATACAAGGTCGTGTATTTATTTACATATCATAACCCCCCCCCCCCCCACACACACTACTAGTGAAGAAAAGGGTTATTTGAAATCTGTAGTTTATTGTCATCTTCAATTCTTCTCCAAGGATTTTGTTCAGGGGTTATTATTTGAAGAATTCGGGGGGAGGTGAGAATTGAAACTTTTTTGGAAACTTTTTTTGAAACTTTTTTGGAAACTTTTTTTGAAACTTTTTTTGAAACTTTTTTTGAAACTTTTTTGGAAACTTTTTTGGAAACTTTTTTGGAAACTTTTTTGGAAACTTTTTTGGAAACTTTTTTGGAAACTTTTTTGGAAACTTTTTTGGAAACTTTTTTGGAAACTTTTTTGGAAAATTTTTTGGAAACTTATTTGGAAACTTTTTTGGAAACTTTTTTGGAAACTTTTTTGGAAACTTTTTTGGAAACTTTTTTGACAAATCATCTCTTTTGTTTTGTATGTATCTTCAGATAAACAATAGCTCGAGTAGGGGAGGAAGGCCAACCACATTTTTTCTACATCCGAACCACATTCTCTTCTTTTTTTTCATCCGAACAACTTCCGAAATATCATACATGGCGGTTTTTTCTTTAAATGGTCGAATCGGGAGAATTGTGTCAGTTTTTAAAAATCATAAAATGCGTCGAAATCCGAAGTCATAAAAATTTTATCTTTTTGTTTATATCAAAACCATCGAAGTTTTTCCAGGTGAACCACCTGGTAAAATGCTAATGGTAAAAATGGAAGACAGAGGTTTGACAAATGTTTTTATATTTACCTTGTTTTGTGAAGGATAGCTATAACATAGGCAGAAGCAGAAGAGATTTAATTTCTACCAAAAAAAGATTGACAGCATATTCTCAAAGTTTCAAGGTGAACACTTAATCTAAGTCATAAAACACTGCAGTGTAGCAAATATATTATCAAGTACGATAGGTGGCAACAGAGAAATGGACCAATTATACACGACGTTACAAGTGTCAAATATAGCAAGGAAAACGAAATTTTCTCACATTAGAGCAGATAAAATTGCACTTTTTATTTTAAGAAGTACTTTATTCTAAAATTATCACTATTACTAACAATTTTGTCTGGCACAAAAACTGAATTGACACTTCTGACGTCAGATTACAGCTGTACAGTGTACTGAGAGTGTACAAATTCTACGTTGCCATCTATTCTAATAGAATCTATTTGCAGTGAAGTATGTTTCCGGATTTTTAAAAAATCGGTGGCATTCCCCAGATATTTTCACCAGACCCTTTAAAGAAGAAAAAATACATGGATGAGGTTCGGAGGTGGTTCAGAAGAGAAAATGATGAAAAAGTGGTTTGGGTATAGAAATTATGTGGTTGGCCTTCCTCCACTTGGACAAGGAGCCTTGAAAAAGTTTAAGTTATATACCATTTTCTTGGACCTGGAGGGAAAGACCCCCATATAGTTAGATGGTTTTCCATGAAATATTGTTACCCTGTACGGTACTTGTAAGAAAAATCAGCAAATGTTTTAGTTTTATGATGTAATAAGAAGAAAGGTTAGATAAAGAGCACCATTTAAACCCAAAAAATCCACTGAAGTTCTAAAAAATCAAAACAAAAAATGTTTTATAAAACAAACATTTATTTCTGAAAAAATCTAAGTGAAGAGTAAAGCCACAATGTTCCTCTGTACAAAGAACAGAATAACATGTTTTCTTCAAAGTTTACCTTTTACATAGAAAAAGTTTGAGATGTGTAGTAACATAGTTTTTCTCTGTTTTAAGTTAATTTTCCTAATTTATTAATGGACATTTTTAGAAGTTGACACTTCACCATTCCAGTCCAATCCAATTAAGGTAACAGAAACATTCTATTTTTAGATAGTTTTTTTCTCAAATTTATTTTATTTTTATTTTCAAACTTGACTAAAACTTTTCTTAAAAAAGACTAAATACAGATTTGTCTCCACACTGACTACAGCTGACTTGAAGTTTTTCTTTGAGATCAAGAAATCTAAAAACATATTTGGATCAGTGAATTAAAGGTCTTCTGAAATGGAATTTAAAGAATTTGAGCCGCGGTTTAAATCCGCCAAACCCCGGTTTAAATTAAGCGCCGGCTTAAATTTTGGAAACATTTGTTACAAATTTAAGTGGAACCAACCATATTTAAGCCGCGGCTTAAATTTAAACCACCGTTCAAATTCTTTAAATTCGGCCACTGATTTCAGATAAATTTTTACTTAAATCCTGAATTACTTTTACAAAGCTACGAATTTTCAAATTAAATTTCTTATGATCTCTACTTGAATCCTGGCCTATATTATTTTATAAAGTGACCCAATTTTTACAGTAGAGACAAAGATTGAAATTGACAGAATTTGAAATTTTTAAAGATTGATTTCTTTCTCATTTTTGCGCAGAGTGGTAAAGGTTTATAAGGCATTGTTGTAAATCGGACATGAGCTTTTTTTAATGGGGGTTTACTTAAATTCCGTTAACAGTTCAAAGGTTCATCCAAAAATTTAATTTTTTCTGTAAAATTTTTTTTAAAGCGCCCAGAATTCTCTGATTGGAAATCCTCCGCATCAGCTTCTTCTGGAACAGACCTAGAGGTATAAATAAATACAGTGATAACCAGAAAGCTAGGAAATAGGAAGACGACTTTTAAACTCAAGTTATAATATAAAAGTATAATGAGTATGAAACACATCAATTGTACAGTATTAAATAACTATAAACAAACCCACTTCAGTAAATTAATGATTTAATAAGGGTAAAGTAAAATTATTTGCTTTGTAACAATATCAAATAATTTAAGTATTGCTGTAAGGTCGTCTTCCTATTTCATTGTTATCTTGTAATCACTTTATGTTATAAACTAAGCAAAGGGGCCTTGTTTTTTTGTTTCAATGAAATTTTAGATTTTAGAAATTTCTTGTTCTAGTATTAATTGCAAATATAAAATTGAAATTTTAATAATAAAATTGAGTTTAAACAAATTTTAGGATTCCCGGTTTGAGAGTAGTCTAAACTCTCTGGATAAGTCGGCAGGCAGCGCTTAAACAATCTTCAGCTCAATCTAGATACTTTAAGATTTCGAATATTTTAAAATTTAACAACTTTTTCATTTTTTTCTTACATTTTTTTCCAGTACTTTTCCTTTAGATTTTTACATAACAAATAAATTAACAATATTCTAAATTTACTGCATAATATAAGATGAAAAACTAATGTTTAAAAATTCTCTGTAATTATGATAAAAAGAATATTTTTAAAAATGTTGTGATAAATTAATCATTACGCTTAACTTTACCCTTACTGATTTGCAATTACTGTGATTAAAGAACTAAATGATTTCACACATGACTTAAAAATAAATTGTTCATTATAAATTTGTATTAGTTAAATCAATTTATCATTAAATCTTAGAGAAAAATCAAAAATCAAAATGCAAGAAAATCTCGTCGCCAACCTATGGGATGAAAGTCAGCTAACTTTTCTCGTTTCAGGTGTGTAGAACGATAGATATCTAAATCAATATCAAATCTAAATCGTATCAAAATCATATCAAAATGCAGCATCTGTTCATTCTATACAATATCTCACCTTTTACATAACGATATTTGGACTAATACACAGTTATTTTAAGCTAGTTTTTACACTTAATACCCGNGTCCATAGTACATTCAAATTAATGCACTGCACTTGGCAACCTTCAAAACTTTAACGAATGTATGAGTAGATATGAACGGCATGTGTAGTATGCCAGGAAGGATGAATGGCATAGATAAATACAAAGTATAATAACCACGGAAGGACACAACACACCAAAAAGCATATTACACAAGTTTAGAACGATAGATATCCTGTAAAATTCAAATCAGATTATTATCAAATCATCCATTCAATTCAGAATCAGATTATTCAAATCAGTAAACGCGCGTAATCCGAATACCCGGAAGGAACTCAATCTAACAACAGTTACTAAGTAATACCTACTGATAAAGCTGTAATCTGTTAGAGTTTCGTCTGCTATGTTCACATTTTTATGTTTTGACTGCATACGTTTGTACTTAGTAAAACAAGAAAATTGCAGTATACAAACAGTGTAAACTTGTCTGTCTTCACTGTTTATCTTGCGGACACATTATTGACACATCTTCACAGCCATTTACCGTTTTTATAAAATAAACTCTAGCAGACATAATTATTTATGGCTTTTGAAATTAGGTATTACAATGCTAATTCATAACAAAGTCGATATCGAATTCGTCACTGAATTCCCATGTTTTTTGGGACACCCTGTACAAGAAATAGTTTGTTTGGCAACACGCTGGAGGAAGGAGAAAATTCCGGAATCATGGCTCGTGTACCCGACGTTAGATCTAAGCTATGTCGTACCCCGTGGGAACTCCCTAGCTACTTGAATTGAATTGATAATCGCGTAAAAATTATTTATAAACTAATTTGCTGTTTAGGAACATATTTCTTAAGAATTTATCGATGAACGGCGAAGTAGAACCGTACAATTGATAATTTCATTTTTACCATTACCTTTGCTGTTTCTGTTTCTCCATTTTTTTTTTGCAGATTTCTTCAAAATGTCTTTTGTATATATGCAACTAATTTGTAGGAAAGTATTTTTTACATGTTTTGTTCCTGTTATTTAAGAATTGTAAAAACGTTTTTTATGCTGGCTGAAACAACTGGTGAAATATTGCAACCAACTTTACGCTCTTATTAAAAAATGGTACACCTTAAAAATGTCTCATTGGTATCAAATGAATCTAAAGTTCTTCTCTACAAAACTGCATTCTCAATTAAAATATGTTACAATAGCCGGTCTCTCCCTTTAAGGTTTAACAAAAATTAAGTCTGACATAATTTAAAGGATTTAAAGATTCAAACATTATGAGAATGTGGTTCGGACGAAAAATTGTCGTGGCTGGCTTCCCTCCCCTCGTCAAACCAAAGCTAAAATCATTTTTATTTGGGACCAGGACCTGCACTGCAACTCAGCTTGTTTACTTTGTCTATATTACGAGAATTTGGTTTAAGTTCCTTTCATTCCTTGATTAGTGTAAACCATACACTGTTAGAAAAACCCGCTTACAATCAACAGTATT